AAAAAAAAAAAAAAAAAAAAAAAAAAAGAAGAAGAAGATGGGAGACGCTAACAACATCAACCCTATCGCCGAAGATGCTATCAACATTGACTGTAAAAACAACAACAATCTCACCGCTGTCGCTCTCATCGACGCCGTCAACAGCAACGACAACAACAACAACAACGATATCAGTAACGACGACAACAACAACAACAATGATATCAGTAACGACGACAACAACAACAACAACGATATCAGTAACGATGACAACAACAACAACAACAACAACAACAACAACGATATCAGTACCGACAACAACAACAACAACAATAATAACGGCGAAGACGGTGATCTTCGTGAAGATGACTATGACGTTTGCATCCAAGTCATCCAGGTCGTCAACAACGACGACGATATTGCTGACAACAATTGCAACATCTATTCGGACGGGGGCAATCGCAGGGTGCGGCAGGCTTCTCCCGCGATTCTTGCCATTTTCGGAGGAGGTAGGCCTATTGGGGAGGGGATGGTTTTGCGCATATTCATGTGTATCTGGCGCTGCTCATGCGGGCGAAATAGCATTGTGGTGCCTCCATGGGATCCGGGTGGGAGGGAAGCGGGGTGGGGTTGAGGCCTGGATCTTTGTCCTTTCGATGTTTACAACAACAACAACAACAACATCAATGATAACAAAAACGACACCGCTCACGAGGTGGTAAGTTCGATTGGGTAATCTCTCCCCCCCCCCCCCCTTTTCCCCTCCTCTTGGATTTCTTCTGGTGCTCTTTGGCTGTAGTTTGGGGGGATGGGCTAGTGGCGAGGACGATTGGGTTGATTTGCAAACGGGAAGGCTGGGTGTGGGCGCGAGGAGTGGGGTGGTGGTGTGTGGTGGTGGGATAGTGAAGGCTGGATAGCTGGATCACCGCATCCTGTTTTGGCCACGTGGCAACAAGACAACTGTCTTTGCTCATTGGCTTGCCAAGCGGAATTGGCGATTTTCATTTCTTGCGTTTTTTTACAATTTAGGATTAGGCCACGTTTCAGAGCAGGCAGTGCACTGAGGGTTGGCATCGGGTCCGCTTGTGTGATTGATTGGCGGGGCAGGCGGAGAAGCGGCGATTGGCACCAGGGCCGCCTGAGTGATTGATTGGTGCCCTGCCACGTTTTTGACTGATTAATCAGGTTAGCACATGGCTATTAATCTGGGTAATCTGTGTAAACTGTGGCCCCCCACTTGAGTGGATTCGTGGATTATGAGGATCGTGGGGGGGATGTGGTGCAAGTAACCTTACATAATAGAGTGCAATGGTGGAACCGGACTTCCGTCCAAGGTTTTGCTATAATTGATTTTCTAAAGCCCCCTATTCTGAATGCCCCTCCTCCCCGGGTGCTGCAAGAGCGATTCCGTAGGTGATGACGGATTCAGACTAGGGATAAGATGTTACACTGCTATGGCCAGTTAATCCCCTCGGTTGCAGGCAATCAATGCTGCTCATCGAATTAATGATGTGTGCCTGCGTGTCGATTCAGGTGATCGATCAGGTTTATAGTAGGATGGACACGTGGCATGGTTACATAACCCTTGTTTACAAACTGCCCCTTCCTAAAATGTTGAGGGACGCTGGACCCGCTTTCCAGCAGGTGCTGCTCCCCACCAATAGATGGAGCCTCCCCGAGAATGCTAG